GCGCGCCTTAGGACCCAGGCTCTTCTGGACCCCTCCTTAGGTACCTGCAGAGATGGTCCAAATGCATGAAGATGGGATGTGGACAACCAAGGCAGCCTCCCCGGGGGAGGAGATGGCCCTTCCTGACCTGGAGCACGCTCCCTGGGGGCCCCTCACAACACCCCACTGACTGTAACCAGTCCAGGCAAGTCTGAGCAAGTTAAAAATCACTCACAATCAGCTAAGGCAATTCTGCCCCAGGATATTAACTGCCCTGCTGAGAATCAGTCTTGTGGAATTTTCAAAACTTTTCAGCTGCTTACAAAACTCCTTGGCCAACCATGTGTCTGCTGGGCTCCCCTGCATGTAGAAAGGGAACATATAGGCTTAAGAAGCGTCTGATGGGGATCATCTAATTCATGGCTCATATTCTGCAGCTGGGGAAACTAAGACTAAGGCCCAAGAGGCACAGCCCCCTCCATCCATCCCTACGGGCTGTGTGACAGCAAAACAGGTCCAACTGCAGGGGCTTCAGATCCCTCCAGCCCTACAGGTGGGATTTATCATTGGAGGGAGCTGTATCTGGAGGCTGCGTATTCAGGCCATCGTGGTGCAAAATCCTGAGTACATATAGTGTAGGTCTCTGGCTGTCCTCCCTGCCTTCAGAATACAAGGAGTGCATTTATCCCACTGAAATTCTGACCACTAATGAGCAGTCGGTAGGGAGAAACTGAGTCCATGGAAGCACCCTGCTCCCCAACCACTTCCTCTCTAGCTTCAACATCTACTGGGGCTTCTTGCTTAACCCAGTCCACACCCTGATGGTTACAAACTCCCCAACTTCTCCACGAAAGAAAAAAAAAAAACTGTGTGTGCATGCGCACGCATACTATATATATTAAACCAGGAATTAACTGACCACTGTAGAATAAAACTCTTGATACTCATTTTACTTTATGGTGTTTTCTTTCCAAGTTTGACCTGTCACTAAAAATTAATGTTCTGAACTTGTTCCAGACATCACAAACGTTGCTTCTATTGTACTATTGTGTGTGCCCCCTGTCCCTTTCTGGGCAGGTGAAATCCAGTTAAAATGAACGTCAGGCGGCCTAGGGCTGGGGATGTGGAAGACAAAGGAGACATCTCACCCCACCTTACCTCCGTCTCCACGATGGGCTGAGCTTACTGTGTACCTGATCAGTGCTCCTCACCCGGCGAGCCCCACCCTTCCCAGCTCCCACCACGGCCATTCTATGAGTGGGATTTAGGGGCTGTAAATGATGGTTAAAATTCCATTTTCGTCTCTACAGTAACGAAGAAATCCAAGGTGCTGCCAAAGGCCCAATAGTAAAGGAAGTTTCAGTATTGCCCTCGGTCTTTGAGACGTGCTCCACTGGCATCTCCACCAGTGTGAAGGCCAGGGCTTCTCACTGCTCTCCAGTGACTAAGGGTGTTATTTTAACGAGGCACAGATTCAGCAAGAGATGCCCCAGTCTGGGGGTTCTGAGACCTGGGTCCTAGTGCCT